TGCAACGGTGATAGATGTCCCTCTAGAAAATGCGCGAAATATGCGTTCTGTGTGAACGGCTTGGTTTCAGTTTTGACGTAAACAAGATCTTCTCCGCATTGATGTTCTCTTTTTCCGCAATATTTTTAATGAACAACGCAGCAGCGCCGCATCTAGTGGCTTCAACTGGATAGGCTTACAAAAACATTATAATGCAACGACACTTACATCGTCATCGCATCTCGTGCGCCACTGATAGGGCTGCCTCCTTAACGCACATTTAAAATTCGAATGCAACGTTTTTGCATTCGATTGTGGATTTTTATTTTAAATTCGAGGAATATTCGAAATTCGAAAAAACATTTTGACAGCCCTAATGTACATTACTGTTAACCAAAATGAGAAGAAACAAAATTATTTATGTGTGACGTTTGGGAATGTCCTTTTACTGTTTTTCACTGTAAATTATACGGTAATTCATAGTTTTTAATTGCAAAAAAAAAACATCAATCCATCAGTATTTCACCAAAGCAAAAAAAAATAAAAAATAAAATATATATATACACACACACACACACACACACACACACACACTAAAAATTTCCAGTAAAAATTACAAGCAATTTTTTCAGTGTACAGAGAGCATCAAATTTACTGACACCTGGAAACAAACCAATGAAATAAACTGCTAAAGATAAACAATTATGTGCTAATAAATATTGCCACAATGTAAAATAACAAGGATTTGTATTGCTGCCTCAGTCATCATTTAGTGTTGGCTGAGCAAAACTAGACATGATCTGACAACATGGAGGAAGAGTGATTAACAGCCCAGCGTAGGTATCCACATATGAACATTCTATCTGTGTGTGTGTTGGTAATTTCACTGTTTTCTCGCAGAGAGATGAACAGATTGGAATGCATGGGAGAGAAATCTCAACGCCGCCTCTTGCTTATGTTGATATCACAACATCCTCATCCATATGTTAAGCATGGAAGCAAGATCACATGATCACCGAAGATCCACAGGGTTTCTGAGCATCATTTAAAAGTCTGTTAGTAGGCCAAAACATTATAATACATAATTCTTAACAGGGTAAAAGTTTATGTACTTTCAAACAATCAGCTGTGTTGAAAAACTCTGAAAGCACTATTTGCTCTAAATGACGACTACAATGCCATTACCAACCTGCAAACTAATATCTGGTTCAAATATTCTGTCATCATTTAGCAGCTTGATCACGATTGATAAAAATGCATCGTAAATGGAAAAACACTAAACAACAATTAAGAGATGGCTACAACCTCCACTCAGAGCCACGTGTTTATGAAGAGTGGAGAAAGTAAAATGCTTTCATTTTGAGAGGGGTACACAAGGGGCTCAACGAAAAGCCTCCTCTGGCACGGACCTGCGAGCAGGGAGTCTGAACTCTTGACCGTTCTGCTCATATTTGTCCAGAGCAAACATGCTGACAAGACTACAGAAGTTGTGTTTATGAGTGGCTGTGGAAATACTTTCCATTATAGGGTGGACGAAAGTAAATAAACACCACATCAGAGGACTGATCACTGCCACTTTACGATCCACATGAAAAAAAAAAAATAGACAACAATATTGCTTGAACTAAACTAAAGGTTATCCAAATGCATGTTATAATAATAATAATAATAATAATAATAATAATATATATATATATATATATATATATAGTTATAAGTCAGATTTTCATGATATGTCACCTTTAACCACTAGGTAATTTGCTTAATCAGTATTTTGTCATTATTTCAGTAAAAATATATAAATAAAAAAATCCTTAAATATATTTACATAACACTGTTTAAAAACGTATTTTAAAAAACTGAGAATATCATGATGCTTTTGCTCAAAACTTTGTTAATAGGTAAGAAAAACAAACTTAATACAGAATATATTCCCCTGGTTCATTATTTCATTATTCAGTTCATTATTCCAAAGTTAATTTAATAAATATTTATATGAACTTTCAATATCAAATAATTTAATTCTAATTCCTTTCTTTAATTCAGGAACTAAATTGGAAGTCTCTTAAATCAATTCTGTAAGGTGCACAACCCTGGTGGTAGCCAGGGCACTGCTATGTAGTTACTAAGGTGTTCTGGGTGATTTCATTGGTTAGAAAAGTATCAGCACACCTCTCCTCAACAAGCTGCACAACCTGCGCTATCACATGTGGACAAGTTATGCACCGAAGTTAAATACTCAGCAAACACTAAGGAATGGATCGTCTTGGAGAGAGTAGAAACTGAGAACAAAAATCTTTCATGGAAATATGTTTGAACCTGATGTAAAGAAGAGGTGGCGGTTTCATCAGTATTGTGTGAACTTTGAACTTCTTGCTGTCTCCTCCCACACACACACACACACACACACACACACACACACACACACACACACACAGTCTCTCTAGGCTCTAATCAGTGCAGGAACTGAGAAGAAATAGCCCCTGGAGGTTATATACTCGAGAAGCTTCACTTCACCATGAGGAAGAAAAAAATACTTGTTTATGAACTCTGTTAAAGCAGCAAAGTACTGCAAAAATGGATAGATATTCTTACAGCAGAAGAACTTCATAGGCTGACAAAAAACATTATTCCTACTTCAGGCTAACTCATAGTGAAGGTAAAGTGAATTAAACTTAGACTTTAAATTTACAACTTGTCTTTTTTAATCTGCTAAAGTAAAAGTATAATTAGGGCTGGACGATATGGCCAAAACTTATATCATGATATATTTCTTAATTTCGGTCGATACGATATAATTCCGATATCGATATGAAC